CATTCCCTCAGGGGTCCTGGTTCCTTTTAGTGGAGGGTAGTATTTAGAAACCTGCAGTCTGGGTGAGAGGATGTTCATTGCTACTGGATTGCCATTGCTTTTAGGCCTTTTTGGTGGACAGGGCTAGGAAATATTTATTTTTTAAAAGGAAAAGTCATGAGTTCATGATTGGGTAGGTAGTATTATTTCTCCACAATCCTTCCTTCCCTCCTCATCCTTGTCATGACTCCCCTGCGGGTGGTGTATATTTCCCCACCCCATGGACTTTGTGCCTGGCCCGTGACTTGGGCACAAGTGATGGGATGCAAGTGGTGAGCTGAGCCAGTAAGAGGCAGGAAGCTTCACCAGCCGTCTTGGAACCTCCACTCTCTGTGACGGACCCATAGCTATTGTGCGTTTAGCCCGAGTCCCCAAATGAGGACACTAAAGATGACCTGACCCCGACCCAAAGCATGAATTCCAGCCTAACCTGGCACAGCCCAGCCAACCCAGCAAAGATTAGCTGAACTGCAGTCACTCGTCGGCTGACCGGTGAGCATGAAATAAATGTTGTCATCGTGAGCCTCTGAGATTTCAGGATTGTTCGTTATACCACTTTATCGTGTGGAAACACGACCAATACAATGTTTATCTTTCCATCTTACATTCCAGGATTCAAATCTAACATTCCAGGATTGTTAACTTAATTCCCTTGGTTTTTATATGTTTTCTTTTACACTGACAGTTCTGGTTTCTAACAACAATAAATGATGACTTTTTCGTATTATCCCATCATATATATGTATAATAGTTTTTTTTTTTTTTTGTGGTACTCGAGCCTCTCACTGTTGTGGCCTCTCCCATTGCGGAGCACAGGCTCCAGACGTGCGGGCTCAGCGGCCATGGCTCACGGGCCCAGCCGCTACGCGGCATGTGGGATCCTCCCGGACCGGGGTACGAACCCGCGTCCCCTGCATTGGCAGGCGGGCTCTCAACCACTGCGCCACCAGGGAAGCCCTATAATAGTTTTAAAATAATAATATCAGTATTACTATTAACCAGCAGACTACTAGTTAAATTTGAGCATTTCTTTGCAGTTCTGTTTGTCTTTAGTTTCTTTTCTTCTCTCCCTCCTACCACTTACACATGCAGGTGGGCCTCCCTCCTTGGCTTCTCCCAAAGGTCTTTGGAAGCACCAGGGCAGAGAAGGAGTTTATGCTCTCTTGGTTCTGAAGGGCTGCATCCTGAGAGACCCTGTTGTAATCCCAGTGCCTGGAACACAGTAGATACTCAGTTAATATGTGTTGAATGAGTGAAGAGTGAATGAATGACTGACTGAGAGGAGAAGCAATGTAGCAGAACATTATCTGACCAAGTTTAGGCACGTTGCCAAGGAGGGCGCACCAAGTAAGGGGACGTGATTACCCGGGTGCCTGTTTTGCGGTGTAACCACTTCCCCCAAAGCAAGGGTTTTTTCTGGTGAACTCAGTCTTTGAAGATTCAGATTTCCAACTGCTGTTGATAACTAAGGGTAGAACTGTGGCTTCTGCTCATTTCTGCAAGGGGGACTGCCAGAGCATCGGCCCAGGGCTTAGAGGAAGCCAGGCAGATGGTGAGTTAAGGATTGGCAGAGAGCAAGGAAAATGGAAGTTAGCAAACATGGAACCATAACTGCCCGGTTCCCCAGGGCAGTGACTCCAACAAGTGACCAATTTTATCAAAAACTGGCGAGTTAAGTCAGATACAACTTTGTAGCATAATAGCTCACAGCTGTGTTTAACTTACTAGCTGTGGCCTAGAACCCTATCCCCACCGTGGTGGATTGGGTTGCAGGGCTGGGTGGGTTCCTGGCTGCCATGGCTCGGGGTGGGGGCTACACTGTGAAGGAGGACTTTCTGAGGGGTCCTGGTGGCAGCAGCCTTGGGAGAGGGTACATTTTCAGGGTGGCATTTTTCCCCCCAGCCTTACCTACCAAATCTGTCTGTCATTATGCCCACCTCCCAGCCTGTGGAATTGAAGGCCCAACAGTTTCTCAGAGACCAGTTTGAACGTCGGAATTGTTTTTGTCATTAGTTTTAACATGGAGCATCAAGGGGGAACTGCTGTTCTTAGAATGTGCTGAAAATGTGCACGCTCTGTGCTTGACTCAGCCCACTTTCTATCCAAGCCCAGCTGCTAGGCCCACTGGTGCTGCCCGGTGTGCTGGAGAGCACGGGCTCAGTCTGGCAAGGCAGGGTGCAGTCCCAGCTTCACCCTTCCTAGCTTGGACTGTGGACAAGTTACTCATTCTCCTTATGCTTCAATTTTCTCAAGTGTAAAATGGGGGAACC